GAACCTAAGGAGAATATGAAATGTGTTGTGCAGGAATCAGTTATAAGAAAATGTGATGAATTTGTAATTAATTTTATCAATTCGAATACATCGCGGGTTATGGGGAATATCTTTCATGATAAAAATTGGAAAGAAACTGAGGCTGAACTTGTAAAAGTAACTGATCGCATTCTTGGTACACTGTAAGTAAATTCATATCTAATTATCATTACTGGAATTCCTACATATTTTAATGTTTTTTTATTAGTGGTGAGATATTGAACAATCCCGCATTTTCGACCAGTGCATCTCGTAGTGAGCAGAGTGAGGGAACATATATAACTGATGTAATAGTTCCTCTGCTTCGTTCGACTTTGGGAAATCTTCCAAATGGTTACGTATGTCTTAAGTACAGCGGAACGTCAAAGTTTAGCTAGTAAAGCTCGACGTAATATAGGTATGGATGAGATGCGCATAGGGAAGAAACCTGATATTATGGGCTTGCTAAAAAGTGATGAAAAAAGTATAGAGTTGCTGTATATCGAGTCTTCACGCATCATCTGCAGTAAGTCAAAAAAAGATGACGATGATGTGAAACTATGGAGAGAAACTTTAGACGGGGCGAGTTTCATAGGATTATCATGTAGACCTTCTCATCAGTTCGGAGTCGTTGGGATTCAAGTTGCTGGTACGGTTATGCGTTTAAATGTTCTTGTGAAGGATTCAGCTGGCATACCGCGCGGTATTTTCATCTTGATCACGCCGAAATCCCATTATCTCCTCACACATTACACACAAGATCTCTTGTCCGTTTATTATTAACCTTAAGAAATGTAATGATTGTGAATAAAAGCTTGCTGTTGCAGGCATTAGAACAAGCCAGATCTAATCCACCACGAAATCCACATTTAAGCCCTACAGTTTCATCACCACCCCATAATAAATATTAGGTAAGTATAGAACAATATTCGGTTATAGAGCTTTCGATTCATATATAGATATTACTATCACGTTATTTCCTGTGGTTTTTTTTTATTTCTCTTATATCAATAAAGCTGGCCCTGGTGGTGGGATGGTCGGCACACGATTATTTTTTTTTTCTGATAATCGCTACCGCTTACGCATTTTTATCGGGTACATGATCGACTGTCAAGCCTCATCACATGTTTGAAAATAGCACCTTGTGCTTGTTCCGGGGCATGTCTAAAGCGGAGCAGATCCCTCGCAATTCCGTTGGTCAAATTTGTATGGCAGCCAATAAAACTGCAAATACAGGATCACGTTCTGCTCCGCTTTAGCCTTTCCCCAAA